GAGGGGATACCAAGAGACCAGGTGGGGAAGTTGCCCTGGTCGTCCCTTCACAGTATAAGATTGGGTAAGGTCAGAAGTCTACAATGGCTCATCCTCCACGTGGCCCTCCCAGTCAACTATTGGTTGTATGAAAGAAGAAGCAGGCAAGCTAGGACAAAGGAGGAACGAAACTGTACACTGTGTACGGGTGGGGCTCTGGAAACGATGGTCCACTGCTTAATCTCATGCCCGGAGGCAGAGAAGGTGTGGGCATTAGCTCGCGCACTATGGTCCCGGGTCACGGAAGTTCCCTTCCCTCCGATCAGAGACAGACTCCTAATCAACATGGAAGCGCCCAGAGACTGGAATTCCTGCCAAAAATACATGTTCCGGCTACTGAGGCTCTACGCACTGTGGACAGTGTGGAAAAGAAGATGCCAAAGGGTGGTAGGAGGGAATCATATGACTATAATGGAAGCCAGAGGAATAATGTACAACCTGCTGGAAACAGAAATCAGGGCACAATGGCAGAGAGCCAAGAAGCAAGCGGAGAGGCAGGAAGAATTAAATCCAGATAAGGCTAAGGAAATAATTAACAAGTTTCGGACTAAGGTTCTCGCAGGGGGCAAGGTGGCTTCATTGGAAGGGAAAGCCTTGCGCTTCCATTGGTTTAAGGACGATCTCCAGGACCCGCCATATGAGGACGAGAATGGGGCAAAGGGAGGGAACCTCAGACCCACTTAAAATAAATCTAACTTCGCAAGGACAGGACTGAGATACAAACGGGGCTGGGGCAAAAGAGAGGGAGCAGCAGGGAAGGGACGTACAGCCAAGGAGGTCAAGTATTGAAGGGGGAGAATAAGGGACAAGGGACACCAATTAAAGTGTCAGGGGAGGAAGCAGGGTTTAGGGTTTAGGGTTTTACAAAACTTAAAAGGCAGAGAAAGGGGTTTTAGGGAACAGGGGGAAACACAGCTTTTGTGAAGAATTGGTAAAAAGAGGAAGGTAGATCACATGGCAGCAAGGGAGGATCTCTTCCTAGGTTGAACAGGAATTTCAGGCAGATCTGTTAGGGAAGATCTGAGAGGGAAGAGAGACTCAAGGCAAGCTGACAGTCAATCCTCCACCAAGGGCGGAGTAATCAATGCTGTTCAGGGGTCCTCCGGCCGGACGGGAGGAAGCGTGTGTTCTTACTCTGTAATGTATTATGCTGTGAATTGCCGGTGGAATAGGAACCGGACTGACGCTCCCCAGAATAGAAGGAGCTTTTTTTTTTGAAAAAAAAAAAAAAAAGAAAAGAACACTCTTGTTTGTGTGTGTCTGTCTCCTCATCTGTTGGGGAACAAGAATCCACTTTTAAGTGTTTCCAGGGGCAAACGCCTTGTGTACTTTCAAATCCCTATCGATAATCAGTGTAGTCACGGCAGTGTTGCTTTTCAATAGTCTCTCGAAGGTACAAGAGGTGCTGTTCTCTCCTGGCTCCTTAGACTCAGCCTGTCTATCAGAAGCGCCAGCTGATGTCGGTTGCACCAACCCCCATTGTGTGTGCTTGTGCTTCTGCGATGGCAGAAGGCAGTCCCTATGCACTCCTCTCTGTGCGAGAACACGATTGCTCAAGAGGTTGGGCCTGTGTTGGCCTATACTTGAGCAAGCTGTGTTCGCACAGGGCTGAATGAAACTAATCTCAAAGATATTTTGTGTTTTCTTGGAGGGGAAAGTGGAAACAGAATCCGAGAATGTCAAGAAGAAGGCCAAGAACAGAAAATAAGAGGCAAAATATAACGTTGTCCGGGCTTGTCCACAAAAACTGTTTGGCAGCTGTTTGGCTTTCGGGCCACCCTTT